TCATTGTACAACCAAAACCAGTCACAGCCACGCAAACTTTTGTACTTGTCTGCCAAGGATATGACTGACATTTGATTATGCCACCTCTGCCAGTAGATAATAAATGGGCCGCGTCATGACAAAACCAACATAGTGGGTTTGCGACCAGCATGGATCCAGACCAGCCTGCGCCACCACGCAGATGCGCAGGCTGGTCTGGATCCATGCTGGTCGCAAACCCACTATGACTCAGGGCTCGAGCTAGTGGGCGATTCGGGCGAAATAGTCGCCGAATTCCGTCTTACTTCGCCGACATCCTACATGAAAGCGAAGATGAAGTCGCCCGATTTTATTGATCCATTATTGAAAATTACCAACAATAACAATAACTGTGAATAACATGTTGTGTGTGTTTGCTTTGTTTACCCTCGCCGCCGGAAAAAGGGACTGTCATGCATCTCAATCAACGCGAAATGTCATTAATCCGTTTGTTTACCAACATGTCATAAAAGTCTAATTAACAGACACTCGAGGAACAATTAGACTCCGCCCACGGCGAGATTACCGATACGTGCGAGAAACCAATCGTAATTCACGTTTTAATCGAGGCGACATTATTAAACCAATCATTAAATCGCTAACATACAACTACCCGTAATAATTATTTATGATGGACGGATCAAACGTCAATTAAATTTTCACTATCGAATGATTGTCAGAATTAAAAGAGAACCGCTCGACATAAAACTGTAACGGTAATTTTAAATGAATGTTATGATATTAAAGAGATCAATATACAGTGCATTTTAAGAATGACACGCTGAATGTGAACGGACTCACATATGATCCTGATACCGAGGCATGGTTTGATACACGACCCCCTAAACCAAAAGAAGCAAACAGCACTCAATCTTCCTGCTCGAATTCCCGTTTGGAGGCTATGAATATGAATTTAAATACGATATCCTCCAGAAATGGTTCCCTAAAATCGAATGAAATAAACTATAAAAAGGTTTATCGTGATCAAAATTCTAGGTCGTTTACATCTGCCAAGCAGAATTTAAACTTTGTGACTCCTACCAGCAATCGTTTTGATCCTCTGCGCCAGCACGAGTAACAGAATAACGCAAAAAAACTCGCCAGCAGAAGACACTGAATTAAAACGTTTTTGCGATAAAAAGCTGTTTTATCGCCGATGATTCCATTTCAAATAATACCAGTGAAAGTGTAGCTATAAACATGATTAGTTTGCCAGGGCCTCAATTAACCGGCGCGACAGTCAGGCACGTGACCACCAGTGGCAAAATCTAGGACAGGTCGGGAGATTTAACCGTGCAAATTGACACTTCGGTTACCGATACTTATTGTGAATGTGTATTACAAAATGATTTTTGTAGTTGTGATAAGAATGTTTTGGATGAACAGTCATTACACAATAACAATATATGCTATTTGAAAATACTTAATTTGAATGTATGTGGTTTATTATGTAAACAAAATTGTCCTGATTTTTGTGAATTTATTTAGGAAATAGATATCAATTCTGAGTGCATTGTTGTAGAATAATGCACGGTTTGAGTTCAAATGCGTAGTAATATAATCACGAAGGCCGATAGGCCTGAGTGATTAATTACAAAGCATTTGAACGAAAAACGTGCATTATTCTACAATAATGCACGAAGAATTAATATCTATTTCCATTCTAACACGTCAAGAAAAAATATAATTATTATTATAAAGTTGGACTCTATGTTTGGTGGTTTAATTTGTTTTCGCCTCAGAGTTTCCCATAGAAACGTTCTTTAAAGGCTGTCCCAGTTGGTTGAAAAAAGCTGTCGATAAATCTACCGTGTGTAGAAACATTTTGAGAAAAACAAATTTTGAAAACGTTGGTAAAACTTTGTTTGTTTATTTTATTTCACTCTATAATTTTTCAAGCGAAATACAAATTTTTAAAAGTGAAATAAATGTGAAACTTAACTTGTTTGCGACATTAAAATAGCGTACTTGATTTGATTGTTTTGCACGTGCTGTTTGGCGCTATATTGTGACGTCACGTAAACAACACTTTAAACGTCTGTACAGCGTTAACGACTGAATTAAAGATATTGGTGTTCGGATTCATTTTCTTAGTTAGACCATTTTCTTTCATTCTAGATAGCTTTCACAACAAAATTCGACAAAAATGTTTTTATTTATCAGATTTTTTAAACAAAATGGCGCCCTCAATGTGAAAATACACAGGGAGGTAATAAGAACGGCGAGTGCATTGTTGTAGAATAATGCACGCTTCGGGCCTTCTTTGTCTATATAGAAAAAAATCCGATAGTGTTAGAATGATAAATATGACATTGTATGTTATGAGGAAACCAAACTTGATTCTTTATGTAGTGTGAATTTTGAAAACTTTAAATTGCATTTTAAAAATCGCAAGGATGTAATGAAAAGAAGGTCAGGCGGCCTTTGTCTAGGGATTAAAAATTACCTTACACCGTTTGTGCGCATTATTGAATCAGAAAGTAAACTTATTCTATGGTTTGTACTGTCCAAACAAGTAACAAAAAGTAATGATATTTTATATGGTGTCGTGAATGTGCCACCTGAATCATCTGATTTTTCTACTGGCGACCCTTTTGCAGAAATTCAAGGTGAACTTGATTCATTCAGTAATAAATATTCTTCTGTCTGTCTAATAATAATGTTGGTTTTGTCATGATGCGGTTCAAATGTACATTAAACTGCATAAGTGTTGATATGTCATCATATCCGTGTGATTATAATTACATATTCTGTACAAAAATATATATTCCAATGATTTGATTTCTCATTTTATGATTAATTTCCCATTATATTTGATTATCTATGCCAAAAATGGATATGTGAATGTTAAAGTACATAAGCTTTGTATTATTTTCTCTCAAATAGTGGAAGGGTGTATCCAACATTCCAAGAAAGTGATGATGATGATGATGATGTAGCTATTATTGATGATTTCGATGGAAAGATGGATAGCCTGAGGCAAATGTTCTCTGTTAAGTCTGACCAGGAAATCAAATCCGCCCTTCTAGATGCCACTGGAGATGTTGAAAAAGCAATAGATATACTCGTTGCCCCACCCGGTACTTCTCAACATTTTCTGATAATTTCATTTTCAGTTATCAAATTTTGAAAGAAAAAACAAAAACAACTATTATCAGTGAAAGTTTAAAGTTCAAACAAGGATATTTAATACATAAATTTAAAAATATTAGCCAAATAGAGTTAATTATTTAGGACAGTCACTTAATGTGCTTGCCTTTGAATAGTAAAAAAAATTATGTCTTTATATCAGATGTCATGGGTCAAAATTTACCTTTATACATAGTCAATAAAGCACTGAAATAATTTCTACAGGTAAAAAGTTCAAAAGAATACGACAGGAGGGTCATGAAAGTACTGGCGAGTCGGACATTCCGGTTCAGCCTCGGAAAAGAATTCGGATGATATCGAGTGACAGTGGCGAGGATAGTAATTCTCAGTCTACGATTGACCTTGACTCGCAGGGAACTGTTGGCTACAGTTTGGAATCACAGAGGTCAGACGCAACTGTCGTGTACGATGTTGATGAAGTGGAGGATAATACACCGTTGACAGCCAATCAAAAGAAAAAGATTGAATTCCTTAGAGATTGTTTTCATGATAAGACTGACAAGGTATCGTATTCACTATAATTGTTGATAAGAAATTGAAAAATCAAATATGATATAAAGCTCTTTGGTAACGGGGTACTTAATATTTTTAGAGTAAAAAGGACTTACTTTAACATTTTAATGATATAAACTGCTATATGTTTACTCAAAAGTACCGGTATTCATCAAAAATTAAGTCATGATCATAGACAAAACAACATGAAGGTCAATCTGCCATGTTTATGACTGGTGCTACATATGCAAATTAACGTGTGGATTACTTGTTGGCAGGGCTAGGTACCTGTAAGGAGTAAGTAGAACTCCATGAGTCGAACTTTAGTTGATTTTCTCGATGTGTTGGAGTAAAATGAAAGTTCCGATTTTCCCCCATATATTCCTTATAAAAACCTATATATGAGTCGAAATTTAATTCTTATGTGTTATATTTTTCAATGTGTCAAATTTTTTTCGTGGTCCGTATAGAATTAATCGAGAACAATTTACCACAAATAAGTCTAAGTCCTTTGTAGACATTTTTCACACCTTTTCTGGCCGCAAAGATGATTTCTGATCAACTTGTGTGACAGGTGTTTATTACTTGGCCGTGTGTAAGCTGGTTTAGTTATCGCTGTTTCCTTTTGTTACCCCTGTATGTCAAAGAAGCATTTGTGTTAGAATTACATTTCTAACATTCTTATATAATTCTGTTTTTATATTGTTATTTTTTTTGTCTTTTTTTCAAGCCAAAAACGAAAAATTGTAGTTTTGACAATTCTTTTAAAATGTAATGACAAACATTCGTCTGTCTCATATATGGGTTACTGAAAATAGTTTATTTTTACCAACTGAATAGAAGTTATAATATCTTGATTATAGGAGTTACGTCGGGCATTGTCCTCACATGACTGGAATATAGCAGATGCTACAGTTGCTATGAGCGCATCTACAACACTGAAAGCTTTGTCATCAAAGAATAAAGTAAGGTCAAAGGCTGCCGCTGATATGGATAAACAAAAAGGTATACCATACTCTTAAAATAAAAAAAATTACAGTTTTAGGGATATATGTCGAGGAGAAAAGGCTTGTAATAGAACAGATGCATTCAGTTATATAAATCTATCTTTTATTGTTTATACTTTCTGAAAATATGATCTTGAAAAGAGCTTGTTTTTAAAGTGCATTGTTTGACTGTTTAAGTGGAATTGTTTATTACTGTTGACTAAAAGGTTTACCATACTTTCCATGGGGATATTATGTCAATGCATTTATTGTGTAGTAAATGAGATATTCGCTGTAACACTGTATGAGCTATAATAATTCAGTGCCAACTAAAATGGAAAATAATTATAAAAGAAAACAAAAAGGTTGGGTTGTTTAGTAAATAAGGTATCTGCCTCTCAACTGAACCCAGGGATCATGAGTTTAATCTGTAAAATGATCATTGACCATGTTTCTTCATGCGAAACCAATATTAGTTAGCTTCAGGTAGCAGATTAGTTATTGTGTAAAATATGTTACCAGCTGTCTTCAGGAAGATAAAAATTAATTTTTCTCAAATTCTTCAGAGGTACAATTAGAGGATGATGATGATGATAATGAGGAGGAAGAATTCAGTGGGGCGGAGTCAGACAGTGATGACAGTATAGAGGTATGGCATTAGTGTATTTGTTATATAAATATCTGGAATAAATCACATACTTTTTATTAGCTCGACTTTTCTATGAAAAGGGGAGCTATCCTACTCGCCCCGGCGTCGGCGTTGGCGTCACACCTTGGTTAAGTTTTTCGTACCACCCCACTTTATTTCAGAAGTATTACAAGTATGGCTTTGAAACTTACCATACTTGTTCACCATCATAACCTCCATCTACAGACAAGAGTACATAACTCTGTCAAGGTTTTTGACAGAATTATGGCCCTTTTTTGACTTAGAAAGTGTATTGAGCTTGGTTAAGTTTTTTGTACCACCTCACTTTATTTCAAAACCATTGGAGGTATTGCTTTGAAACTGACCATACTTGTTTACCATCACGACCTTCATCAACAGACAAGAGGACATAACTCTGTCAAGGTTTTTGACAGAATTATGCCCCTTTTTGACTTAGAAAATACATTGAATATGGGTAAAATCCACTTATTGCCTTAACCCTTTGAGATATTGCTTTGAAACTTTTAATGCTATTTCACATCATTACCCCCATCTGTACGCAAGAGAAGGTAACTCTGTCAAGGATTTGTTTTAAAAATTAAGGCCTTTTATCGACTTAGAATCTTGGTTAAGTTTTTAGTACCAGTCCACTTTTTGACTGAACTGTTTGAGATATTAATTTTTTAGTTTTTAGTACCAGCCCTCTTTTGACTTAAACATTTCAAACTTTGCTGCAGTGTTCAAGGGTATCACACAATTCAGTAAAATAATTCTTCACTAAATATCTTAATGCTCATGGCCATTGTTCACTTTAAAAATACAGAGATTCTTGTATTTCCTTTTACTGCAAAAACTTTTTTTATTGGCAAGCAATAAAAAAGTCGAGCGCGCTGTCTTACGGACAGCTCTTGTTAAAGTTAAATTAGGATCAAAATTTACAGTCAGTAGTTGTGTACAGGTTCAGGGATCATTCTGGTCAGGATTTTTAGTGAGAGATTTTCTCTCATTTGAGAAATTTTAATGAGAGAAATTAGATTTTCTTGAGAAATTTAATTTTCATGATGGGCGAGGTTGAAAATATGGAAATTTCTAACTTTTTAAAATCACTGTACATATAAACATTAGTTATCTAATGAGGATATAGATGTAGCTCTGTTTATTACAGTGATTTTTGTTTTCACTTTTTTGATTCATCCTATGCCTTTTCTTTTGTGAATTTTTAAACATAATAAAATTCTAATTGTGAAAAATAAATATAACACTTTCATTCTGAAATATAAAATTCTCTTCACACACCTCCCTTCATTAAAAAATATTCATTGAATATGTGACCTGAACACATAATGACAAATATCTCCATATCCACAAATAAAACAATACCTAAAGTAATTTTTATTCATAAACATCATTTTTAGTGTTATAAAACACCTTTAAATAACACTCAGCTTCCTTTTAGTATTTTTTTTAATCACGACATCGCGAAAATATGTGACAAATGAATATTTGTCTGTTTTCCGCTGAAACATTCACAATTCTAGCTGTTGCTGATTGCAATTATATAAAATTAAATATTTTTGTTCAATAAAAGAATATTTATTATCGGCTATTTCATCAGGAATCGTAAAACAAAATTTTAAAATTTGTTCTTTACGGCAAAATTTACCGTGGTTGATGTGACATTTAGAGGACAAATTTTACCGGTATTTGTTTTTGACATGTCCATTTTTATGTTAGTCTGTGTCTAACAATTTTTATTAAAATCAATTAAAAATGTTTTGTGTAAATTCTCGACTTACAGATAGATAAAGGTTAGCCATTATACCGTATTCTGTACGGTGAATTTGCGGTCTCCGATCGGCAATTATTTTAGGCTAAATAATTCAAAGTGTCGGCCTACTTTTTGGAGTTTTTTTTTACACCGATTTCATTAATAAACAATTTGAAATTAAATTCTTGATGGGAATCGTAAATTTTTCATCATATTTTTGTGTGATTTTAGCATTCTTTAGATTGTGATTACACATTTTCCGGCTCAAATTGCCGTGCGAGATTTTCTCTCATGTCACAAATTTCTCTGAGATTTTGGTGATTTTTTTGCGAGAAATCGCGGAAATCGCCCCCTAGAATGATCCCTGCAGGTTATGATTGTTATTGATAACCATAATAAAGCCTTATTTAAAATATTGTTTGTTCCTATCCTGTTACAAAGAAATATTTTATCTGTCTATCTACCTTACACATAGGGACATGGCTGATGGAAAGGGGGGACAAAATGTATTTAAGAATGGCCTTCAAAAATCAAATCAAACTGTTTAAGAATTCCATGTTGAGAGACTGTCGAGGTCTGATTTTCTTTATATGAAAGGACAAATGATAGTATCTGACTTGACTATCGCATGCAATTATCATTTTCAAATATAAGATTCAAGCATAAATTGACTTTATCTTTTAAGCATTGTTTATTTTTAAAATTTGTATGAAACAAAATATTTTTAAAGATATATTTTTTATGCCCCCGAGCATATAGTGATTGAACCGTCCGTCCGTCTGTCCGTACGAGGTTAACCTAGAACGGCAAGTTGGATTTTTCTTAAGTTCTACCTGTACCAATGGCTTCTAAGTTTACACACTTACTAATCAATAAAAAGTACATGATCTGGGCACGTTACATAACTCTGGCTTTCATATTTACCAAGTTATGGACCTTTTCAGCACTTAGAAAATGAATAATGGTTAACCTAAAACGGCAAGTTGGAAATATCTTAAGTTCTATCTATACTAATGGCTTTATAATTTCCACACTTACTTATTAATACAAAGTACATGATATTGCCAAGTTATATAACTATGCCATCCATTTTCCCAGTTATTTCCCTTTGTATCACTTTGAAAATAAGGCCTTGTATTGTGAACATATTTCGGCAAGTTGGATTTATCTTAAATTTCTCCTAATCATATCATTTATTTAATGATATCTTTCATATTTCGTAGGTGGATACCTTTGATGGTCCTCTAATTTTTTGTGGTGTGAGCGGTCTCTAGGGTCAAGGTCAAGGTCACTGGTTTAAAAAATAAATATAAACATTTTTGCTCATACAGCCTTTATATTTTAGTTGATGTTTTAGTTTAATACAAACATGGGAGGTCTTCCTTCTTTGGGTGTAGTAAGGGGTCATTTGGGTCAAGGTCAATGTTACCAATGTCAAGGTCACCAATGTTAAAATTGATTTTTATAATTTTACAGGTGTATTGACCTTATTCTATAGACAGATGTTATTTATAATTGATAGAAACATAAACTTTGATGGAGTTAGTGGTCAGTTGGGTCAAGGTCACCAGTTCTAAAAATAGATTTTTACACATTTGCTCATACAGCCTTTATTAAGTGACAAATATATTTTATATTTGGTAGGAAGATAACTTGCATGGTCATCATTTTGATTGGGGTATGGATCAGTGGGTCAAGGTCACTGGTGCTAAAAATAGATTTTTACACTTTTGCCCATACAGCTTTATTTATTGACAGATGTTTTTCATATTTGGTAGGAAGATAACTTGCATGGTATTCTTCCTTTGGATGGAGTTAGTGGTCAGTTGGGTCAAGGTCACCAGTGCTAAAAATAGATTTTTACACTTTTGCCCATACAGCCTTTTTTTATTGACAAATATATTTTATATTTGGTAGGAAGATAACTTGTATGGTCATCATTTTGATTGGGGTAGGGATCAGTTGGGTCAAGGTCACTTGTGCTAAAAATAGATTTTTACACTTTTGCCCATACAGCTTTTAATTATTGACAGATGTATTTCATATTTGGTAGGAAGATAACTTGCATGGTATTCTTCTTTTGGATAGAGTTATGGGTCAGTTTGGTTAAAGTCACCAGTGCTAAAAATAGATTTTTACACTTTTGCCCATACAGCCTTTATTTAATGACAGATGTATTTTATATTCGGTAGGAAGATAACTTGCATGAAGTTGAATATTTTTCATCTTCACAAGTCAGAGCAATGACTTGGCAACTTATCTCACAATTACAAAATGCTATGACTTTTTCAAGCTATATTACTTGTGTTTACAATTTTTTGGCAATTTTTCTGTCCTTAACTGAGTGAATGGGTAAACATTTTTTTAAATATTGCTTCTGACAAGAATCTGAGCCGGGGCATTTGTGTTTAACAACCACGTTCTTGTTTTTACTTTGGTCTTTCAAAAGCTTTTTTTTTACTTTGTACCAATGCAATAATATGAAATGAGGTCAACTGTAGATTTTATTAAAAAAGGAGAGAAAAAAATGAATTCGAGATATGCAAACATTTCAGCACATGAATGTAGCACCATTTTTCAAACATTATAAAAATGATCAACATGGAACTTGGAATATTTGCTTATCTTGACAATGTGCAGTTCGTAGACAAGGGACATAATTCTTAAAGCTATATTTTTTTAGTCATGCCCCTTTTTCACAGAGAATTTTTGTCGAGAGTGGTTATTTTAACAGACAAGTTTTAACAATGTAAGTGGTGATCTTTTTGTAGTATGATATTAATACATTTGTAGGATGAGGGTGACTCCGGGAAGAAGATGATCTTAAGTTTCTTTGAAGACGCTACCCTAGAAGAGCTGATGGCCACTCCAGGCTGCTCGAAGAAAAAATCAGAACTTATTGTTAGTTGTAGACCATTTGGTTCATGGGAAAACATGGTAAGTTATCATAATAGGCTACTAATTGGTGCTTTGGAAAATGATATTGAACACCTGTGTTTCATGAAAAGTAAAGATACAAAGCGTCACTGTTGGTTCATATCCTAAAAGGGATGTTAAATTTTGTCATCCTCCTTGATTACAGAATCTTCTTCCATGTCCAATATAAACATAAAATTTGAAATTCTAACAATAAGAACAACTAGTGATTTTAGAATGGAAAAACATGCAAAAGATAATAATAAAAAACAACAAAAGCACATATTCTTCATTTGATATTTGGTCGTTAAGTTTTGAAATCATTTTACATATTGTATGCTTCATTGGAAATATTTAAAAGCAAAATAGATATTGATGTCGAGGCAAAATGGCATGATTAAATTCTTTTGCAGATTTTTCTAAGATACAATCCAAAGGGGCTCTAAAGAGGGATTTGGTTTGAATTCAACGAAACAATTAATTATTTTGTTATTAAAATCACAGGTTGACAAGTTTGTGACGGTTAAAGGTTTGACCTATGACCTGATCAGTGGTTGTCAGGAAGTGATCAAGATACGTGACGTTGTTGTACGACTGATGAAACGCTGCGAGGGAATGTCGAAGACGATGGAAAAAACTGTGCATGATCTCATACACTCAAACACTCAGATGGACGATAGTGAACAAATTACCAAACAACCAAAACTTCTTAATCCAGAGTATGTGATAAATGATTGCAGAAGTTTTTGTTGTATTTTTTGTTGTAATAAAGTATTTTTTGTTGTAATAAATATTGCGGATGTCTTATTGCTATTTTACCTCAAGAGATATGAATCTAGTTTCAGGACAAAAGATCTATACTGCTTTTTTTTGATCTTCAAATGTTAAGTAAATTTCTGGCTTCAAAAAGAGAATAAGCTGATTTCACAAATCTGTCACACTATTGTATTTTGCACTTAAAATGTAAAGTGATTTTTTGGCTCCAAAAAGAGGATGAGCCGATTTCACAAATCTGTCACTTCATTGTGCAGAGAAAATAACTTGATACTGATGATATTTTATAAGAAACCTGTTTGCTTCCAAATGTGTTTTTTTTTGCCTTAATCAAGAGTTACAATGGAATTAGAGATTTGGTTGACTTCCTATTGATTCTTGTAAGCTTTAAAATCTACTGGCTTTAAAATCTACTGACATGTACTTTTTCCCTTCAAGTTAGGAATTTTGATAAATATCATTTTCTATTCTTGTCCAGTTTTCAGTTAAAACCATATCAGATGGTGGGTCTTAATTGGCTCAAGGTGATGCATACCCAAGAAATAAATGGCATTCTAGCTGATGAAATGGTGAGTTTGTTTTAAATCACATGTTAAGAGGTGATAATAACTTTTCTTTGGCATTAAATTGATTCATAGGGGTCCAGATCTTTTTCAGCCGGCACATCCATGCAGTTTGACCAGGCACATTACTGTAAAAGGCTCAGTTTTATTGTTTTGATATTGAAATTTGGGCCTCCGTATCCAAATGATTATGGTCACTGAATTCAAACTATAAAATTTAGCCCTCACAGCATTTTCTTGTATGTCAAAATGACATGTCTGAAAAATTATCCTGTTAACTGTTAGAGTCCTCATTAAAGTGTAACAATTACCTTTCTAACTGAAGTATATTTTATAAAATTGATGGAAATTTCAAGAGTCTACTAAAAATTGTGTTGAAAATAAAAAGCACCAATTTCTTTCAAAAATCCTCAAGATTAATTTATGTACATGTATATATTCATATCATTATGAAAAAGAGGAGCATACTTAATTACAATCAATATGCTTTAATTTGAATTATTTTATTGTAAAGTTTCTACCAGATAAGAATATTCATTTCACAATTACATACTGTTTTTGTATGTTTAGGGTCTTGGAAAAACTATACAGACAATAGCATTTCTAGCACATTTATTAGAGGAGGGACAAGCTGGTCCACATGTCATCATTGTACCATCTTCTACTATAGGTAAGAAATAATGTATTTAGTAGTGAGATTCACTGATAACAATACTGACACTCATGTCCTCATTGATGGCAGTCTGATTGTGTTTAGTTTATACAAATTTATTTTAGTATGATTGTGTTGGAAGCTTTAAGCTATAAGCTTATTGAAACACTCTTGAATCTGTTCCTGGAAATCAACCAGTACTAAGCAATGAGTGTTAAGTTTATTGCTCAAGGAAACAACGTCTTGCCCCGGACAGAGCTGGAACCCAGGTGGCCAGCAATCCTTAGATCACTTGTCTGAATGTGTGACCCATCCGGCCACGCCACCACTTTGATTGACTTTGGTGAAATTATTGCTAGTGGTGTTTATGGTGTGTTTATGACACTAGTTTTAGGCCACACAAGCCTGCTTTTTCATTTCGTCTAACCAGACTTCATGAAGTGGCAAGTCAGTTTTTATTAATTGCATTATGTTAAAACTAAGAAAAAATGCTGGACAATTTTAAGGACTGTTCCAGTACAGCTAGCTTATGGAACGTAGGTTGTTCTACTCGGGTGCTGATATGTCCCTGATATAATACACAGAGGGGCACGTAAGGTCTTCCTCTACCAGTAAAGCTGGAAAGTCGCCATATGACCTATACTGTGTTGGTGTAAAAAATGTAGAGTTGGTGTAAGAGTTAGAAATATTGGTAAACAGTAATGCAGGGCTCATCCGGAAGGGCGATTCAGGCGAAAACTTCGCCGTGTATATTTCCATTTCGCTCTCACAATTGATCAAAGAGAAGTCAACATCGCCGATAAAATCTTAATTCCCAAAGAGTAATTACTTGGCGATGTAAAGAGCAGAGAGTGTATACGCCCATATGACGACTGCTAATTATCATTATCCAATCAGAGCGTCGCTTTATACTACCCTTCTACCTGTATGCAAAGCGATAGACCGCCTACTCTAAACAGTAAATAATGAGAAATGGGTATAATTGTGTGACAGTTTTGCGAGTTTATTACGGGATTTGGCGATAATTATAGATTGTTTTTTCCCCGATCATCTAAACACGTGCAAATCTTCCCTAATTGATATACACGCGGTGTTTAACCCGAGTAAAGGCGATCTGCAATGGGTTTTTCACGGCTATCACAAAACTGTTAGTCAATTAAAAATAATCAATTTCATTATTGATCAGCGACCGGATTAAAAACTTAATCATAGTTTTGAATGATTTCGCCAGCCCGCATAGCTCAATCGGTTAGAGCGCGAGACTTGTAATCTCGACATTGTGGGTTCGATTCCCGGGCTGGCCAACTAAAATTACTAATCAGTCTTTCGGATGAGACTTTAAATCGAGGTCCCGTGTATGGGTGCTTAAACACTTGGCACGTTAAAGAACCAGGAGAAGCTTCTGGAATTGGGGCATCTTTCTGTATCTGTAATTGCACTATCCTCCAAAAAAATAAAATGACTAATACTCTTCTGGAGGACTCGCCCATATGGGCAACCGGTGGCGAGTATAAATAAACGCAAATACACACACATGAATGATTTCAGTCCGTTAACATAAGTTAAAAAATTGTTATGTCGCTCACGTCATGGCTACAGGGCGAAATGCCCAAACCTAGAAGTAAAAGAAAGTTACTGATTCTAACGCAAAAAATCTACGCAAAAATTTAAGAAAGCCAATTCGCAAAAATCTTACGATTGGTATGTTGCAGACAGTGAGAGTGTTTGGCATTGTTATCTTTGTAGAAATGCCAAATTTGACACAGCTTACGCACGTGGGCACGACATCCCGGAAAAACTACGAATCATGATCGGCATGCTACATATCGGTCGTATATCATGTGTACATGTATATAACAACAAAATTTGTCAGGAAAGAAGTGTTCTTATTGTTTCAATGTCATAAATATGACGCTCAGATTAAGATTTATCAATATTGTAAATTTCAAAAAGCATTATTTATAAAGATATTACGAGTTTAACATTTTCATGAAAATAAAGGGAGGTAATTAGAAATTTATTTTCTATAATTTCTCAGTCAAATTTTTCAATAAGAAATGAATGTATATAATTTTAGTGATCAAATATAATGTGCACAAATGTTTGCAGTACATATTTTACATATTCTTCGATGTTTGAAAATTGTTTTATAAGCATAACTATATGCACATAAATATGACATTACAACATGCAAGATCGCAAATACACACACACAACAGAATAGGCAGATTTTGTTTGAAACTTTATCTTCTATTAAAAGTGAGGAAAGTAAAAATATGAAATTAATTTAATCATCAATTTTTATCTTACACATTATTATCAATAAATCTACATGAAAATATATAAACAAATATGTAGAGAAAGCTTATAAATAGCTGATAAATAGTTTAATTGTGTTTATATTATAGTTAAGGATGTATAGCCATGCATGTTAATGCATACACATTGGGCTGTTTCCCTTCTCCCTATTTTTCACGAGGAAGTCACTTCTCCCTAAAATTTCCCCCCAGGATGAGCCCTGGTAATGTATATTTGTTTTCTTTTATATTATCAGAGAATTGGATAAGAGAATGTAAGGTATGGTGTCCCTCTATGAAGGTGCTTGTGTATTACGGCTCTCAGGAAGAGAGGCGTGCAACACGACAATATATCATGTATGCTAAGGATGATGACTATAATGTTATCATAACAACGTAAGTCTATTTATAGTACTTCTGAAATTAATGCGTAAGTTGTGTTTATTTCTATGTAGAGTAAAAATGAAGTATAAATATTTTACATATACAGTTCTGTGAAATTTGTCATTGCACTACTTGTCTCTTACTGCTGTGGGTTTGAATCCAGATTTAAACCAACAGCACTAAGAGGCAAATAGTGCCAGTGCCTTTGAATTGTTTCATGTATGGAAGCTATTGAGTTTCGGTGGTTGTACTGAGGTGCCTATACGGTCTGAAATAATGCATGAAGGGGCATCTGAAGTCTTCCTCAACCAATAAAGATGGAAAGTCACCATGATTTTGATCTTGAAAGTTTTCAAGAACTTAAGATCCAACAATTATGAGAATGAAAACTGATTAAATCAGTGTCAATTCAAATAAATACTGAGAAAAAGCAGGATGCTTTAACGATCTAAGAATTTACTCTTTTTTCCAATGTATAAGGAGAAAATTGACTTAATTCAAACATAAATTTTTAATCAAGAAATTAATCTGTTATAGATATAACATGGCCACTGGCAGTGTTGATGATAGGGCATTATTCAAGAAATTCTTTTTCCACTGTGCTATATTTGACGAGGGTCATCTACTGAAAAATATGTCATCACTACGATATCAGAATCTCATGAGGATACAGGTAATGTGTAAACTTTAACCTTTTTCATGAAAGACTGAGTCAGCCAAAGACCATATTAGGAACTGCTTTACAGGTAGCTTTTCTATTAAAGCCAGTATGTACATTTCTATTGCAGTCACAGTGCAAAATATTTCCTGTTTTGATAGATATTCCATGTATATAAAGTTTCAAACTCCCTGTCAATTAAGATTTTGGAAGAAACACTAGTATTGTTGCACATTTCTTCTGAGGACCGTAGTCTCTCATCATCATTGGACCTTCTCTGAAAGCACTTGTCAAATTCACTTCAAATTTGTATTTAGCATCAGTTTGAGTTTATACTACCACCCTGATTGGTGTTGATATTCTAATATGGAATTCCCTGAAATTGTAAAAACACTGTTTCAGTTTTAAAAAGGACACTTTCATTTCACAAAATCATTATTTCAAATATATCAAAATCATGTTTTGTAAAAGTAGTAAACTAAAAGTACATATTTGTAAGTGTAGTCCCTAAGATTTTCAAATGTTGTTTATGGTTATTTTCCAAAAATGTGCCAACAACAAGACTGTTTTTTTTTTTTGTCCTTTTCAGTACTTGTGACGGACATTGTTATGTCATATAATGGCTTTTAGTTCTGAATTTATTGAGTGTTGTTGTATTCGTTAAACTGATAACTACTATATAAGCTGTTTATTTACAGGCAAATAGAAGATTATTATTGACTGGAACACCTCTACAAAATAATCTACTAGAACTGATGTCATTATTGTGTTTTGTCATGCCAGATATGTTTATAGGGAAGACAGAGCAGCTTAAACGGATGTTCACAATGATCTCAGTACGTATAAACAAATGTTCACAATGATCTCAGTATGTATAAACAAATGTTCACAATGATCTCAGTATGTATAAACAAATGTTCACAATGATCTCAGTATGTATAAACAAATGTTCACAATGATCTCAGTATGTATAAACAAATGTTCACAATGATCTCAGTACGTATAAACAAATGTTCACAATGATCTCAGAATGTGTATATAAATGATCTTAGTATGTATAGACAAATGTTCACAATGACCTCAGTATGTATAAATGAATGGTCTTATATGCTGTCCCATTAAAAATGGAAATGAACTTTTGCCTGGTATGAATTAACAAAACGATGTTGAATAAAAAATAAAACTTTTTTGTAAACTAAAAAAAAGTCACCCTCGAGATTTTTCAGGATTTTACTCTAGAGTGTCTATTTTTCTTGTGAAAGCAAATTTTGATTTCTCTATGGAAAATCTCTGTTGTTTATTTTCCATAGCCATTGCCGAAGTACTCTTCATTTGAAGATGAACGGGAGAAACCACGTGTCATGTTTCTAAAATATACATGAGGTTCTCGGGGTCGTTTCATGATTATTTTACAAAGCTGGGTCTACAAGATGTAACGGTTTAGTTGCATTGCATGATGGAAAACTTTAAAAAATGAAAAATAAGCAACAAGAACACCGAGTCACATGGAGTAGATCTAGAAATTGCACTTACTTTTAAGCTGAATAGAATCCTATGAACTTTATAAACGTCACGACAAATTCGCATTCTGAAGATTCCTTCATTGCCAGTTTCTATCCAGTTCCGTAGATCCCGCTTTTTGACTTCAAATATCCTGAATGACATGAGTCATGACTCCTAGTGACTCCTACACTTTTGATGATCCAGATTTTTTAAACTGATAATCCGTCTCATTATTGAAACATTGTTCAATTTGTCGAGTTATCTGGGTTAGCAAATGAAATATGTAAATGAAACACATCATAATTCAGCATGTTCCAAATCCATAATTCAAGAACGGCCCATCAATTTTAGTGTGTCAACATCACAATGCTTATGGATTCCTGACGAAAAAAAACTTTATTACGTCAACAACAATTGACGAAATATATGACGTAACAAAAATGCCTCGCGCTTTTTATGGATGATTCCAGTTGCGGCATTGACAGAGGGCGGTTAGGCATATGTAACCTCAAACAGATAATTTTAAGCGTTGAGATAAATTTGTCTTTATGGCATTTGAAATAGTGTTTGTATACCCAGATTTTGCAACTTAACTGTAAAAATTGCACGTTCAATTCATATATTAATAATATAAAACTTTTGATAACATTTAAAAATAAATTTAAACACACTTAAAATGACATGAATCTACAACAGTACAATACTTCTTCCATTAATTACATATAAAATTTGTTTTGATATAATTTTTTTGAACTATTTTTTATATTTCTCAGAACATGACATTAATTTAAACGATTTTACTATTATATTAAATAAAAAATGGAATGTTCAAATTTGATGGGACAGACTATAGTATGTGTAAACAAATGTTCACAATGATCTCAGAATGTGTAAACAAATGATCTCAGTATGTATAGACAAATGTTCACAATGACCTCAGTATGTATAAATGAATGGTCTTAGTATGTGTAAACAAATGATTATTACAATTGGTATCTACAAACAAATGTTCACAATAATCTCAGTATGTGGAAACAAATGATCTCAGTATGTATAAACAAATGTTTACAATGATCTTAGTATGTGTAAACAAATGATCTTAGTATATTTAAACAGATGTTCACAAAAATCACTATACACTGTAGCCTCGATAACTCGCTCTTCACTATAACGCTAATCTCAGTAGAGCGCTAATAGACCTTGGCTCCCAAAAAAAAAAAAAAAAAAAAAAAAAAAAAAAAAAACTTCCCAAAAAAAAAATAATTTTTTTTAAGTAGACTTAGATTTATAGTGCGCTATAACGCTTGCTCAATTTGATAGCCAAGTACAATAAACAATTGTTATTAGGACATTTATGATCGCCAAAGGTGTGAAAAACATGCCAAGGTAAGCGTTTATCCGCTCTTTTGTTGTTTTACCTTTCTTCAAATTGTTTCCAAAATCTCAAAATCATATCATAACTGTTACATTGGCATTCGGTGGTGAGTATAAATAAACTAAAATACACACACATATCTTTGACATGTAAACCTCGCTGAATTAAATAACCCACAAGCTCAAAATCAATTCAAAATCCTGCACTGTAAATAGAGCGGCCATGACAGGAAGTAATTGGCGTTTGATTTACTAGGGGACACAACTAAAGCTGGACAGTAAATTACAGTGTTATTTACAGTCCAGCTTTAGTTGTGTCCCCTAGTTAATCAAACATCATTACAGTAATGGCTACCTGTTTTACACTAATGAGAGCCTCGTTAGAACGCGGTGTTGAGACATTGGACCCCAACATGAGCGTTTTAATGAGGCTGAAGTGTATGTATAAATGAAATAGAAAGAATATGAAAGATATGATAAATGAAATAGATTGAGAATGAAATATATTACAAATTAAAAAGATATTCTAGTAGTTTGAAAAGGAAATAAATTAACAAATGAAATAATATTAAAAATGAAATATATTAACCGTTGTTTATATCAACAGAGAACCAGGAAAATTTGATGAAATAAAATGTTTATTTTTTTCTGTATCAACAGAGAACAAACAATGATGAGAAAAGAAGCAGTTATGAGCAGGACAGAATTGCTCAGGCTAAACAGATCATGAAACCATTTGTTCTGAGGAGACTCAAATCAGAGGTAAGTTCATTCATCTTTTCTTATTATTATCAATGTCTTCGCTAGAAAGGTTTCAACATTTTTTTACCCGTATGCTGCTGGAACTGACATTGATTAGCCTTTGCCACCAGTATAGAGCCAGGCCAGCTTACACATAAATGCAGTATGACCAGGATTTATACTGTTGGCTATATGAGAAATTTCACCTCGGTATTTGGAAAATTGATTATGTACAGTTCTTAAAATTGAAGCTTGGCTTGTCTGTTTGAGAAATTCACCAGGTTAAGTATTAAATTAAATGAGAAGGAGTCATGCTTGACTTGTTGTTTATGAATTGAATACATGTTTGATTATTGAAGGCAGTGTTATTAGAAAATATATGAGCCACGTCACGACAAAACCAACATAATGCTTTTGCGACCAGCATGGATCCAGACCAGCCTGCGCATCCGCGCAGTCTGATCAGGATCCATGTTGTTTGCTTACCAACTCTTTAACAAGTAGAGAAACTGATAGCAAACAGCATGGATCCTGATCAGACTGCGCGGTATTGGTTTTGTCGTGACACGGCTCATATATGTTTGATTTATGACACGGTCTGAACTAACATTTACAAGTCTGTCAAATATATGTTCATTGTTGACTACATTTGCTTGAAAAGAAACAGCCTTGCCTAGATTGTATCATTTACAATTTCTACAAATGCCTTGTTGAAGCTATTTGTGGACAATATGAACAGAAAAAGAAAGTGTGACAAATATTATATGTAATGGTGTTTAAATTTTCTTATTATACAAATAGGTCATGAGTCAACTGCCAAAAAAAACTGAGGAAGTAGAACACTGTGTCATGACACCCAGCCAGCAGGATGTCTATGATCGTATGATAAAGTCATTTACAACGCAGTTAGATGACGATGAAGATCGCGTCAATCGGTCAGCCATGTTGATGCAGTTGCGGAAGGCGGCCAATCACCCGTTGTTACATAGATCTCATTACACAGAAAACCTCATCAAGGAAATGGCAGAAGTTCTGTGTGAGGTATGGTGAAAAAAAAAATTATTGTGCATAGTTTTGAAACTCATTTGTCACCTTACTGAATAATGGTGGTTTTATTCAGGTGCCTGAGCATGCCTGAAATAATGCTTGAGGATATTTGAGCTTTTTCTTTACCAGTAAAGCTGGAAAGTCACCTTTGACATTGATGCAACATAAAACCCAGTCCTAAACTTTATTATTATTATGAATGAATAAGGGCAGTTTTAAACCAGCATATTACATAGGTCTAAATTATTTATTCATCACAGCCATCAAAATAATCCATAATTAATGAAAAGAAACAATAGAGGCAGTTCCCTAATTATATATTATTTTGATGGCTAATTACTAATTATAGATCATTTAATGGCTGCTCACCAATTATAGATTATTTTGATGGCCGATTACCAATTATAGATGATATACCTTTGTAGGAACCGAGCCATAAAGATCGAGGGGCATTACCAAAATATATCATTGAAGACATGTTGCCAATGTCAGATTTTGAAATTCACAAATGCTGCAACTATTACAAGGTAACCTTGCAATGTATTTTATGTATGAATATTTTTGTAAATTAAACTTGTAATAGCTTTGAAATACATGTAATAGCATAGTAAATGTTGATTTTGATTTTTCTGATGCATTTTTCAGATTTAGTTAACAATGTTTGATTTAGCCAATTAAACTTATTGAAAATATTAACATTTGTAACAGGTTTTTATGCCATCACTTTTTGTGGTTGAGGGGATGGGGCTTTGTCCTGTCAGGTTGTCCATCCATAGACTGACAAAGCAGTAGAATGTGGAGGCATCCCTGTCCTTCCAAGTTTATCCTTTCGAGTTTTTCCCTATAGCATTACTGGTAGAAGATCAGTGGTTCTACTATGGTGTCATCTTGTGCCTAAAATAATACAATAAAAAAGAAACTGATGTCTTCTGTCTGCAAATATAGCTGAACATTTAGCAATGACTATAAACTTAAACTTAATTTTAAAAAAAAATGTTCTACATATCTTGATCCTTATTTCAGAGGTATCTAGGAAAATATATGTTAGATGAGAACGTGATTGAGGAATCAGGGAAGTTTCATGTATTAGACAAGAAACTGGATTATCATCGGGACCAAGGCAATCGTGTTTTATTGTTTAGTCAATTTACAACAGTGTTAGACATTATGGAAATATTTCTGAAAAGGAAGAAAATCAAATTTATACGACTTGACGGTTCTACACCAGTTCCTGAAAGGTTGGTCTTTTATATGAGTTAATCTTTATATTTTCTGTGATGTGGGCATTTATTTACATATTATAATGTCATTTGTTTTAATGATTGTTACATGATTTAGGGGAGATGCTTTGGTAGTTCAGCAAGGAGGAAGGTAGTCTAATACTGGTGTAACTCTCCAGGAACGATGGTTAGGAAACTACCTGCCAATATGACTGAAATACTGTTGGAAAAAGGCATAATTTGAAACAAACAAACAAAGGCTAATGACTGCATAGCTTGGAAAATAACTTGACCCGTTTGTAAGTCCTGGAAGCAGCAAAAGGTCCTCACACTGTTGGTGTGTAAACAATAATGACTCCTCAAAAGTCAGCAAAACAAACACGCACACACACTTACACAAATGTATGAAGAGAATGTTGAATGAGTGTAGGTTCAATGCGGAATTTATTGAACAAGTTGAATAAAATTATATTATACAAGCATAATATTACTTTATTCAACGAGTTCAATAAATTTAGTAATGAACCTACACAAACATAATATTCTATTTATCACATACTAAAAAGAACTTTTTACAGTAGAAACAATAACTTTTACAGTAATGCACCCATTGTGTATAGCTAACATTAATGTGCTAAAACCCTATGTTTGTATGATGCAATTGATGTCACATCAAAATATATGCACGTCTGAGCCATTCCATTTTTACGGAGTCGCAAATAAGGCAATCAGTATGTGATGAGTGAATATAATTATGTAATAAAGTATTGTAAGATATGTTATTCCCTGTTTAAATTCTACCAGGAACTTATCATGTGAGGAAATTATCCAGCTAGCTTGCAGAAAAGGTCAGTGGTTATACCCAGATGCTTGTGCCTGAAGGGACATGTCCACACCCTAGGTCTTTCTTCACCAGTAAAGCTAGAAAGTCGCCATATAACCTTAACAGTGTTGCTGTGACTGTAAATGGTACAAAATAACTTGTGTAATCAAGTTGGGTTGTAAGATAATGTACAGACAGAAGTTATATTAAAAAATTGATCAACATGTGTATATTATGTTTTTATTTAAGGACGTTCTGGCATACGCCACCATCGGGTTTAATAAACAACTATTATTTTTATTTAACAGACAGAAGCTGATAGATGAATACAACACTGATAAAGATATATTTGTGTTCTTATTATCAACAAAAGCCGGTGGTCTCGGGATCAATCTTACATCTGCCAATGTTGTTATACTTCATGATATAGACTTCAACCCATACAATGATAAACAAGCCGAGGATCGATGTCACAGGGTCGGACAGACAAGGTAAAGTGTATTGATCCCTTGAGTGTTAATTAATGATAACGTTGAGAATATTGTTTTAATAAAATTTAAAAAAATTTTAGGTGATATTTTAATAGTTATGTATTTTATATTTTAGAGAGGTACAAATATTGAGACTGATCAGTAAAGACACAGTAGAGGAAGCAATGTTGAAATGTTCTAAAGAAAAACTAAAGCTAGAGAAAGATGTCATTAGTACAGACGATCTGGGTAATTATAAGGCCATCCTTAAAAAAATGTTTGTTTGGAGTAACGCGACCGACTCACAAAATTTGCCCCTACTCAAATTTTTTTTCATGGTCTGGATAAAAAATTTTTTTTTTTTTGAATCAGAAAAATATGCCTTGTGCTTTGTTTTCGTTCTTTTAAAGGTTAATAGAAGAAATAAAATGTAGTTCTTATTAAATTAGAATTCAGTTATCAATTTATTAATTGTTACCAAATTATCAAAGCATATATTGTCCAGCATTTTGAAATTCCATGTTTATTTGGGAGTATAGTTCAATAAAAAAATAAATAAATAAATGGACCTACCTATCCACCTTGAAAATTCTGGGTCGGGTTACTGCAAACAAACATTTTTTTAAGGACGGCCTAGTTATTTTTTGCAGTCATTTTATACAGTCATTTTATCATTATGTGAATCTTATTTTTGTTACCTTAGTTTGAAAACATTTCATCCATGGATTAGAAATTGTCATTTTGTCTTTCTTCTTGACTCAGATATTCAGTATCACTTGTCACATGTGACTTTCCAGGGGCACCATATCATCACCTTAGTGCATTAACTGGCTCATTCCTATTAAATTTAATAGAGGAGTTAACCTGTTACTGCACTAAAGTGACAAAAAATGATAGGGAGTCTTTTAATCCTAGTCCAATAAGTGTACTCAAGTGTTTCATATTACTATATTTACATTTTGTGTTGATTTTTTCTTCAATTGAGCAATTTTTGCTGGAGATATAAGATAATCTGCCTTTGCATGATTTATTGTAACATGTGGCTATGAATTCAGTGATATATATAAAAAAATATTTGCACTGAATGATTTGATTGTATCCTATTGCAAATTTTCTTTTGTTTTGAAAGCTGACATCAAAGGCACTTGTGGCATAAAGTATTCTTGCTGTTCAGATATTTGATTGGCTTATTTTAAGTTGTTTTAGTGACAAAATGTATGTAATTTTGGCACATGGAAGTCAGATTTTTTAGCTACATGCAGATTGTGCATGGCATATGAATCTGTCAGGTTTTGTCAATTAAACGCAACTTTTAATAGTATTGTAAGGCAATTTTTTTTCTTCAGTGGATATCCTAAGGATTTATAAAGGTTTGAAGTTGATTTGAGCCGCGTCATGACAAAACCAACATAGTGTGTTTGCGACCAGCATGGATCCAGACCAGCCTGCGCTTCCGCGCAGTCTGATCAGGATCCAGCTGTTCGCTTACCAACTCTATTACAAGTAGAGAAACTATTAGCGAACAGCATGGATCCTGATCAGATGCTGCGGATGCGCAGGCTGGTCTGGATCCATGCTGGTCACAAATCCATTATGTTGGTTTTGTCATGACGCAGCTCATTTTAATGATCAATGTTGCGTTTTTTTGTTTGTTTATTTATAAGACTTTTAAAGTTTTGAAAAAATAAATGAATTTATCAAATTTATGTTCATTTATTCATATGTTTAAAGGATGTTAAGCTAAATCTAATGAAATATTTTTATAAAATCTAATGAAATATTTTTATAAGTTCTTAAAATGTTACCGCCTCCGTGGTCGAGGGGTTAGAGTCGATGACTTCTAATCCAGTTACCTCTCTGGTGTGGGTTCGATCCCCATTAGATGCTTTGGTAGTTTAGCATGGAGGAAGGTAGTCTAGTACTGTTGTAACTCTCCAGGAACAAAAATCTTATAATGTTAAATTATGTTGTTTCCATCATCTTATGGTTGACTCTTAAAAATTTGTAAAATAGAATGTCTCTTTTATTAAAGAATATTGTATGTAATATACATCATTTACAAGAAAATGGTTTGAAAGTGTGAAAAGAAAAAAAATCTGACTAATTGATTTGATGGACAAAATTAGGCTTAATGGCTGTTATTTACGTCAAGGTTTTAAATGCTAATTATATGTTTCTATTTACATATCATTTACTGGGAAGTGTATAAAAGTTTAATAAAGCAATGATATGGTGACAGGAAGCAAATTTTGACAGTAGTTTGTCACATGAGAGGAGGGCTCGTTTAAATTTATCCAAAGACTTTATATAATGATCTGGCGGTCTTAAATAGAGTCGCTTGTGTTTTGTTTATTTTTGGTTGGGTTTTACGTTGCACCAACACAGTTTAGGTCCAGCTTTATTGGTGGAGGAAGACCGCAGGTGCCCTTTTGTGCATTATTTCAGACACAAATAGGCACCTGAGTAGCACCACCAACATACTGTAAGCTAGTTGGATAGCTTTCTCACATGAAAATATCCAAAGATGCTAGAATAGCTCAAACCAACAGCGGTGAGTGGCAAATGGTTTGAAGTCAATCATTCGGCCATGGACGCCCCAAAATAGGGTTGTATATGACAGGGAGTGATTAGCTAGGCAAGTTTGACTGTGTATCATAGGTTCCTTAAAAAAAATTGAAAGGGAAAATTCTTAAATCAAAGTGAAGAAAATGAACATAACTGTCATATCTTTACTGTTAAATAAGATATTTTACAGGCCAAACTTTAAGAAAATCAACATGTTTGACTTACTGGCTTGATTGAATATTTGAGAATACCAACTTTCAGTTATGTTAAATTAAATTGATTCTTGGATACTTAGCAAATATTTATTTTCGAACATCTTCAATTTCATCAAACTTTAACCCTTTCGCTGCCAGAGGGTTATCAGAGCAACGGATAAGCTTTAAAAGTGAATTGGGTATTACTCCATCATTTCCTTTGGAATTGGGTATTGGCTCCATTTAATTGGGTATTTCAAAACTCGATACCCTATGATTTCAAGATCAATTGGGTATTCAATTAAGAAGATATGAATTTTATGGTTTCAATATCAATAAAATTTAAACTGTTTTATAAAGAAAATAGGATTAACGATTTACTAGAACTTTTCAGAATTGTTTTATTATTTATATAAAATGCTCTTGTTATATTTCATAATATTTTTAACAAGTTCGTTTTCTGACTGATTTTTGATTATTTACGACTGTTTTGTTTCAAATCATTTTCCCTGTTGTTCGACGCCATATTGCCTTCAAAGCGTCTATTGATACAGCTGGGACCTACTTATTGACTGTCTCCGCAAAATCAACGGTTTCTGCCGGTCTGTTAAGACAGCCGACCTGAGTAGACAAATCGACGGTCTCATGCTTTATTCATATGGCTTAGTCGGTCTTTGGAGACCGGGGACCGTCCAAGACCGGAGACCGTTGATTTTGGGAAAATTTGGATAGCATGCATATCGATATACTGTACAGTAATTTGTCCAAAACTACGAGCGAACGACAGGTTAATTTTGCGGTGATGAAAATGACAATACGGTGAATACGCACGGGTTTTTAAGACAATTTCGTATTTTATTTTTTTCAATGGGTTTTGATACGCATTCTTAAAAAATCAATTGCGTATTTTATAAAATTAATTGCGTAAATACGCAAATACGCACCTTATCTGTTGCTCTGGGGTTATTGTTTTATTGATCACCTATTTGCCAGAGGGTTTTCTAAGAAATTACTATATTATCAATTAATATAATTATTATTATTTGTTATTAGTATTATAATAATTATGTATGTTTCCAAATCTGTTAGTATAATGATAATTATTGTCGATGGTATAATTTTCTTTATATTTTTTATTATTATTATTATTATTATTAATTTATGGTTATTATCATTATTATTATAGCCGTCCATATGGCAACTACGCCGAAAATAACAGGGACGGCATAAGCTGTCCCTATGGCAGTGAAAGGGTTAATGCCAGGCAAAAAATTGATTTTACAGTATGTAATAGACAGGTTTTTATACAATTCCTTTTTATGATATAAGGAGAGGAGTTTTCATCATGTATTTATTATATTTATTACAGGTGATGAGTCTGGGAACAGCAAAGATGTTGCCTCCATTTTGAAACAAGCATTAAGCACAAAGATGTGCTCTTGATGACTGTCTAAAGTTAGGCAAAAGACAAACTCAAATCACTGCCTTAACAAGAGTTAGGCGTTTCAGGCTGTACACTACCAGGGTGGCATTATGAGGATGTGATATTATATATGTGTGGAAACATATGTGTGGTGAAAATTGTACAAATTTGACAGCATGTATATAAAATGTGTAGTGAATACATGGGAATGCATATAAGGAGTATTTTGTGTAAATGATCACATGGTATGTAATTACATATGTGTAAATATGCTGATAATTGTTGATCTTTGGGTATCTTTGTTGAAATATGTGAAAATGTTGATAAACAGTGGTTGAAGAGTGGGGGAAAAGAAGATTACTTAGTTATGAATGAAATTGATTTGCAAGTGGAAATCATTGTGTAATAGATAAAAAGGGAATGCAGAAAAAGGAATATTTGGATTTCAGATGGATAATTTCCAGGATTAGTATTTTCCATTCAGCGAGAACCATTCCATATGATTCAGGATATGAAATGTAAAAAAATGTTTATGATTTGACAATGTTTGACTCGCTCAAAATCTAAATTGTGGCTGCACATGGACAATGTCAATGTATTCTTTGAGACTGTCATGGCTCGTTTTTCTATCAGAGAAAGCTAATGAATCGCTGATGGTTAAAAAAACAGTCGTGCATGACTTGTAAGAGAAGGGAAAAATGTAAATATCAGTAGTGCTTGTTAACACCATGTTACAAATTGAGTGTTACTGGATTTGCCCCACTATGAAATGGACTTGCCGAGTTGCATTTATGAGTATAGGATGGACATGAGTTACTTGAAATTTGTATCATTCTGTTAGCAGAATAAGATTTCATTATTAAATAATTTTAAACGCACATTATGCCTCAGAAATCCATATATATTTTAATTCTTAAAGAAATGTCAAACATCATCATGTGTTTAATAATGTTTACATAATGGATTTAGAGCATGTTAAATGTTAAACAACTATAGGAAGTAGTGCTGAATGTGCAGTAATGTGTCATAAAGGTAGCAAAATATAAACAAAGTAGTATTTTGACTTTTATTCAAAAAACAAATTTACCATAATTATTCCAATTACCAACAGAGCAAAAGGAGTTAAAAGATATGTGGCAAACAAGTTTTTTGTTGTTTTTTATTAGCTCACCTTGCACAAAGTGCAGGTGAGCTTTTAGTATGGCCAACCAAATGGCGTCCGTCGTCAGTCGTCCGTCCACATTTTAAATATTCTAAGGACATCTTCTATGATACCGCAAGGCCAATGTTAATGAAACTTGGCAGGAATACTCTTTGTATGAAGCTCTATCAAGATTGTTCAAAGAATTCCATTTCATGCAGAACTCTGGTTGCCATGGCAACAAAAAGAAAAATCTTTAAATATCTTCTTTTAAAGAACCCAAAGAGCTTGAGCTTAGGCCATTTTTTTTTTATATTTTGGTTTACTGATTTTTTCCAAAAAAAGGTAGGGTCGGCGGCGGGAAATTAAAAAAAAAAAAAGGTTTTCATAACTTTAAATGTGGTGCATACATATACATAGTACTTACCAGAGCAATGAAATTAAATACATCGATCGCCGATTGTCTATTCCAAAGATTGTCTAAATACACACAAAAAAAACTTTGCTCACATTGCCATTGTTTAAAAAACACACATGAAATCTACACACGATGACAAGTGGCAAGCCAGCCCTTCAAAAGAATCTGTCATTCTTTGATGTTTACACACTGCTGTGTAATCTGAATCATCAAAGGTGCCGAAACTCAGCTGACTTGCACTCAGTTAAAAAAAAAACTGTCAAGAAAAGATTACACATGTTCAATTTTAATATTGCCCGATATGAAAATATTTTTTATCGGATAATTAGCGGGTCAATTATTGACATAAAAATCTATTAATAGTAAGTGCATTTTTAAATTTTGTTTGTTTGAAAACCTGTATTCAATCTGCTTTTAAAGACTATCGTTTTTTTGTTAAATCTGAAAATACTGATCTTGTCAATTGCATCAGATTTCTCTCGCTCTGTCCTTGAATGTAACTGCTTACGTAATTTTGGCGTTTTTTTTTTTTTTTTTTTTTTTTTTTTTTGAAGTTGTTTACTTTGACATTTTTACGCATTTGGACACCTTAATTGTATTGATAAAATATGATCAAAAGCCTCATTATAATTCTGTGAGGAAGGCTTGACCCATTTAACAGACATTCTTTCATAATTATTACCGTGAAAAATTTTCTTGACGTTTGTTTGAAAAGTCGTAAGATGAGATATATATATCCCGATAGAATATTAACTAACATCTTAACTTTATTAGTGGCGTATTTCAAGACAACACAAAATTTTTTGGGGGCAGATTTTTTTTATTTTTATTTTTTTTCATTTTCCCAAAATACGGAGTCGGCGGGTCAGTAAACCGAAATATAAAAAAATAATGGCCTTAGATATTTGGCATGAAACATCTTCTAATGAGTGTCTACCAAGTTTGTTCAAATAAAAGCCCTAGGGTCAAAATTGGCCCCGCCCCAGGGGGTCATTGATTTTCCCTATATGCATGTAGTAAAAACTTAAAAAATCTTCTTTTAAAGAACCCAAAGAGCTAGAGCTAAGATATTTGGCATGAAACATCTTCTAGTGAGTGTCTACCAAGTTTGTTCAAATAAGAGCCCTGGGGTCAAAATTGGCCCCGGCCCGGGGGGTCATTGATTTTCCCTATATGCATATAGTAAAAACTTAAAAAATCTTCTTTTAAAGAACTGTAAAAGCTAGAGCTTAGATATTTGTCATGAAACATCTTCTAATGAGTGTCTACCAAGTTTGTTCAAATAAAAGCCCTGGGGTCAAAATTGGCCCCGCCCCAGGGGGTCATTGATTTTCCCTATATGCATATAGTAAAAACTTAAAAAATCTTCTTTTAAAGAACCCAAAGAGCTAGAGCTAAGATATTTGACATGAAATATCTTCTAGTGAGTGTCTACCAAGTTTGTTCAAATAAAAGCCCTGGGGTCAAAATTGGCCCCGCCCCGGGGGTCATTGATTTTCCCTATATGCATATAGTAAAAACTTAAAAAATCTTCTATTAAAGAACCGTAAGAGCTAGAGCTTAGATATTTGGCATGAAACATTTTCTAGTGAATGTCTACCAAGTTTGTTCAAATAAAAGCCCTGGGGTCAAAATTGGCCCCGTCCCAGGGGATCATAGATTTTCCCTACATGCATATAGTAAAAACTTAAAAAATCTTCTTTTAAAGAACCCAAAGAGCTAGAGCTAAGATATTTAGCATGAAACATCTTCTAATGAGTGTCTACCAAGTTCCTTCAAATAAAAGCCCTGGGGTCAAAATTGGCCCCGCCCCAGGGGGTCATTGATTCTCCTATATGCATATAGTAAAAACTTAAAAAATCTTCTTTTAAAGAACTCAAAGAGCTAGAGCTAAGATATTAAGCATGAAACATGTTCTAATGGGTGTCTACCAAGTATGTTCAAATAAAAGCCCTGGGGTCAAAACTGGCCCCGCCCCGGGGGTCATTGATTTTCCTTATATGTGTATAGCAAAAACTTAAAAATCTTCTTTGAAAAAACCCAAATAGCTTGAGTTTAGATATTATACATGAAACATCTTTAAGTAAATATCTACAAAGTTTGTTCAAATAAAAGCCCGGGGGTCAAAACTGGCCCTGCCCCAGGGGTGTCATTGTTTTTAACTATATGTGTATAGTAAAAACTTAAAAATCTTCTTTTAAAAAACCCAATGAGCTAGAACTTAAATTTTTAGCATGAAACATCTTCTTATGGGTGTCTACCAAGTCTGTTCAAATAAAAGCCCTTGGGTAAAAATTGGCCCCGGGGGGGGGGGGGGCTATATACAGGTGAGCGACCTCAGGGCCATCATGGCCCTCTTGTTTATTTTTGGGGGGGAAACTGTAAAAAAATGCCAAAATGAAATATTTCGAAAAATGATAGCATTTCTGAGGCATAATAGGCCTTTAAGTGAGCAGTCAACAGTATAGAGTCAAAGTCAGACGGGACTAATGTACAAATTGGACTGACTATTTTCGGGGGAATGGATCTGTTATTTTTGCAATTACACAGTTTAAAAGATAAATCTTTCATCATGATAAGAAATATTGTAAATTGATCTAGATCTCATGATTTGAAGTATTAATCAACTGATTTATTCATATTTGTAGAAAGTGATAGTATGATTATACCATTTTGAATCAGTTGTTTGCATCATATTTTTCAATAGGTTTTATATTTTTTCGTAGGTTCTTATATTAAGAATATACAGTTTTATAAAATTACTATCTTGCTAATCAAATGTATAAGATCACAAAGGGCCCCTATTGTATTTTTTTATTTCCAAGTATTCAGAATATGTGATTTGTTGAATGTGACATACAAAGTAGAGATAAAAAGATTTTTACAGAATATTTGGTTAGTGTCTAGCTATTTGGTCATAAACAAGGGAGATGACTTTGAATAATAATTGTAATAATTTTATCAATGTCATAGCATGCTCTTATAGCTGCATGTCTCTAAATGAGTTAACAATTTTTCATCTTAAGATAAATATAAAATTTATCATTGTTAAATAAGTATGAATAAATATTCACAATAGTTGTTATCAGGAACTCAGCAAATGAGGGTTTTTTCAAGCTAATGCCCCAGTACAAACAAACTTACCATTAAAGCTGCATGGTGCTTTACTGTTCATAATAAATTTGACAACCTGTAAGTGCTTATTACAGCAACTACTGTAAGAATTCTTGTTTGTACCCCTGGAGTACCTGAGGAAACCCAAAATATTTTTAATTCTGGAGTTAGTCTTTTAGAGTAATACTCAGCATGTTGAATGCAAAATATTATATGGTGTGCACTTCATTTTTTCCACTAGGCTATATTTTAACAAACAAAAGTTGTTTTTGTTCATGAACATCGATATGAAACAGGAGGTATACTTCTTTAAAATCCATATTTTTACAATTTTGTGCAGAACTTGTGATTTATGTTGGAGAAGAAAAACAAAACTGAATTAAGTCCCTTCATACAGCTTTGATACACATTTATTACTCATTCTGTTTCATTTCTTTTTGCAACAAGTAATGATTATGATTTTTAATTTGCATTTTTTCAAAACTGCTGATTCACTTTGCATGACATGAAAAAAATATTTTAATTTTTATGCCACCGCAGCATCTGCGATGCGGTGGCATATAGCGATTCACCTGTGTGTATGTGTGTGTGTGTGTTTGTTTGTTTGTTTGTTTGTTTGTGTGTGTGTGTGTGTTATATAGATTATATAGTGAAATTAAAAAGCCACTAGTCCAATTTCAACCAAACTTGGCAGGATTGATCCTTGGGTGAAGGGGTTCCAAAGTTGTTGAAAGAATTTCATTCCATGCAGAAATCTGGTTGCCATGGCAACCAAAAGGAATTAAAAGAATAAATTTAATAAATCTTCTTGTAAAGACCCAAAAGGCCTAGAGCTTAGATATTTTGCATAAGGCATTGTCTGGTGGACCTCTACCAAGATTGTTAAAATTATAGCCCTGGGGTCAAAATCGGCCCCGCCCCGGGGGGTCATTGATTTTCACTATATGTACATATAGTAAAAACTTAAAATACCTTCTTGTAAAGACTGAAAAAGTCTAGAGCTTAGATATTTTGCATAAGGCATTGTCTGGTAGACCTCTACCAAGATTGTTCAAATTATAGCCCTGGGGTCAAAATTGGCCCGGCCCCGGGGGTCATTGATTTTCACTATATGTACATATAGTAAAAACTTAAAATACCTTCTTGTAAAGACCCAAAAGGCCTAGAGCTTAGATATTTTGCATAAGGCATTGTCTGGTAGACCTCTACCAAGATTGTTCAAATTATAGCCCTAGGGTCAAAATTGCCCCTGGGGTCATTGATTTTCACTATATGTACATATAGTAAAAACTTAGAATACCTTCTTGTAAAGACCCAAAAGGCCTAGAGCTTAGATATTTTGCATAAGGCATTGTCTGGTAGACCTCTACCAAGATTGTTCAAATTATAGCCCTAGGGTCAAAATTGCCCCTGCCCCGGGGGTCATTGATTTTCACT